GTGACTTCGTACACGCTCCTCTCTGGCTTGTACGCTCCGGTGGTCGCTGACCCGATCGTACCACCGGCGGCACTTGGCCCGTACCTATGGTACCTTGCGACCATCACGACAGGCACGCTTACCATTCTCTCCGGGCTTGTCTTTGGACTGCGCAGTGTGAGCGGCAGCGCTGACTACGACTGGTTTCACTTTAGTCCTTTAGTCGCATCGGTGTGGGTGAGTCGAAATCTACTAATATGTCGCAGTGTTGCGGCCATTCTGTGCTTGGCCACGGTGCCACTCGACACAATGTCTTTGCATGGAATCACACGTCTCGTGCTAGCGCCGCGGTCGATTTGGATATCGATCGTGTTGGCACTGGACAGCCTCTGGCTCGCCCACGTGGCCCACGGCGTGCTGCTTCCACTGAGTGCCGCCAGGTCTGCGCTGCCAATTCCGTTGCTTGGCTGTCTCGCGATCGGCTTAATCGACCAGTTGGCGCCTGTCGCCTTGACGACTCAGCTCGGCCGAGAGTGTTATGCTGTCAACATGGACCAAATGACGTATTGTGTCAATGGCAGCATCAGCGTCGGCAGTTTGGAACGAAGTGTGGTTCTCGGAGCGGTCGTTGGAGCGGCCATTACCGCGTCATTTCTCTGGTCGCTTTGGTTCCCGGATATTCGTGCGTCGCCTCGCCCAAGTGCTCTAATACCCCCGATGGCACCGCTGCACGTCGCTACGACGGGCCACCGACTGAGCTTGGTCACGGCGGTCATGTGCGGTCTCGTGCCGCTGACCTGGCGAAACCGCGTTCACGTGTTTGATCTCAAGCTGTGGCTTCTTATTCAGTCAAATGACGAAGCGCTGGATGCTACTAGTACGTTACGAGACCTCGCCATAGTGCTGTCATTCAGCGAACCGTCGATCCTATCGCTACCTTCGAGGGTCTCTCATTCCGTCTTGGGCCGCAAGTCTGTTCAGCGATTCCTCCGGTGCACAGGTTTAGGCTACATTGGCATCACTCTCTGGAGTAACGCTGCCTACCTGAGCGTCCTGGAGACAGCGCTGGCCAACGACTATGGCTGGGCCGGCTTCAACGCTACTGGCATGCACGCCTTCCTTGCCAATACGTTCAACCGCCAGCTCCTCACGTCCACTGACGCTTCGATTGCACTGCACGACCCAGCGTTCGGGGACCCACTGCAGTCATACAACTCGTCCGCCACCACCGTCGCGTGGTATCCCACGGTGGCGCGCCGGTACCTCTTCAATGCGTCGGCGCCGTTGCAAGAGCTAGTGGCTGGTCTCCGGGCCATGCATCCGTGTCAAATGCCGTGGATGTTTACGCAGTACTGCTGGCTCGACCTAGATCGGACGTGGGAGATGGCCAGCACGAGCCAGCGACAGGCTCGGTGCGCAGCTCTCAGCCAGCTCAATGGCGCCCGGTACCTCGAGACGAGTCTGCGCAATCTACAAGACTGGACGGTGTGGCGATCGTGCTGGGGCACCTCGTTCGATATTGGTATGGGCAACGACTTGGCCGCGTCTGTCGAGGGTCGTCAGTGGCTGCAGCATGTCCAGTCAAATACTCTGTCCGTACCAGAAGAAGTCGAGTACTGGGCGAGCCATGACATCTCGGTATTCTTGTTGCAGTGGCAAAACTTCAAAGACACGGGTCTCAGTGATTCGATGGTCATCTCGACGCCGTTCGGTCTCTCGTACAGTCTGCCGATCAGTGAGCGCCGAGGCATCGTGCACCTCGACTACCAGACGTCGCATCGTATGTACTGGGGACTCGCGAGCGACCTCTGGGCCGTGAGCAATAATGCGACCAGCGTCGGTGGCTTGTCGCTCTTGCGCAACAGTCCCCACTTTGCCTTTGCGAATGCGACACGCGCGAGTTTGCTCTTTGAAAATCTGACGCTCTCGTCGCCGCTGAACGCTGGTTTGGCACTCTATGACACATGTTTGGGACCATTTGGCGCTGTCGACATGGTGTACGTAAGCTGTCCAGCGTCGCTGCTTGCGTTCTACCGCTACGTTCTGCACACGATCGCGACTGCAACTAGCACCAACCTTGAAGCGCAGAAGCAATTTCTCAATCTGCCGGCCAAGACATACATTGGTCAGCTGCCGCAGGCTCTGCTCAATGACACAAGCGTGCGCCTCGTGGGGGGTAACCTCATGTGCGGCAGCGACCTTCCGGGAACCCCACCATCAGGCGCACTGCTGACGCTCTTTGGTATCGATACGGTGTGTGGCTGGGGGTACCTGGACTTCTTTACCCCATCTAGGACCGGTCTTATCTTTGCCCTCGCGGCCTTTGACGCAGTACATCAACTTCAGCCAACGTTCGACTTCGCCGCTTTTTGTGCAAGTGATGTGTACGCCGAGCCCAACTGCGAGGCCATCTACCACGCGTCCTATTCATACGCAAGAACATTCTTGTCGGATTCAACAACGCTCAAAGCATTGGCAGTTGCAGCCGAGACTGACACCCGATCTCTCTCGATCGAGACGACCCAGTACATCAACCGCAGAGGCGTCATCGAGCTATACCGAATCAATATTCTGGAGCCAACCGACCGCCCCTGGACGTGCTTTGGCTGGAACTATCTCGCCGAGTGGGTTGTCGGTCAGCGCGAAGTTGTCTCGTTTCAAGGCGACGGCGGCACGGTCACGAGCATGTCCCGCTTCACGCCCCTCTCAACGCTCTTGCCAACCGAAGCGGCGATCCCGACACGCCTCTCGTACGTCTGTCAGCAGTGTGTCCGGTACGTCACGGGCGCCATCATGGTGGGTGCGGGAGTTGCTGCCTACTATGCTATCTTTGTTTGCCGCGGCTACATTGAAGGCATGAACCTCTTCGCGCTAAACCGACTCATTGGCCACGCGTGGATTGGTCGGACGCTGCTCATCATCCGAGGTATCACGGCGCTTTGGCTGCTCAACACACCGCCCTTGCAGCTCCAGGCATTCGGCGTCGGTGCTCGCTTTCAAGTGTCGGCGCCAGAATGGTTTCCGACTCTCCTGGCTTCGTCCGAGCTCACATGGCTGGTCTACATCGCCAACGACCTCTTCAGCTGTGTCACACGGCAGTACACGCGATTGTATGCGTGGAAGAGCTCGGTCGCAGCGTGCTTGGTCGCGGCCGCCTGGTCGTTCATGGACCCCCGAGAGTACACTGCCTACGTGCGCCGAAGCTGCCGGTACATTGACATGGACGTAGCTCTGGAGTGTACGAGCGGCTACGTTGAGCTCGGTCATGGAAGCCGCGTCGGCGTTGACGTCGGTCTCTGTCTCGGCTGTGTCTTTTTGGCGGCTTGTGTCGAGCGACTGCGATACCCCAAGCTCCCGTTCGTGCCAACGCCATCGCTTCTTCTAAACACCACTAGTGTCTACTCGTCCAACATGACCAACTGGATCGTCCATGGCCACGCGTACATGGACCGCATGACTGCCGTCATGGGCGGCCTTGTGACGTGGCGCTACCACGGTGTTTTGCACGTGTTTGATATCAAGAGCTGGCGCACATTTGTCGTCGTGCCCGAGGCCGAGTGTCCGTTTGAGTTCGGCGCCGTCCTGCCTCTTCATCGTACTTGCTAGCTGCCTTGTATACTCATACTTCAGTGCCATTTGAAAAGTGGGGTTTTGACCTGCGTCCAGACACGATATCGCCTCTGCGATCGCGTCGATCGACAAAAATGCGAGTAAAGGAGACTCAGAGAGTTGAAAATGTCATTCTGCCACGTGCAGCAGAATAAGCATGGAAGGGACTACAGTGTCGTCGACCACAACACTTATAACAGAGATATTTTATAAGGACTAGAGTCGCTACTTTGAAACTACATGAACGACCCTAACCCGCTTTGACACGCTGCAACCCGAGCCCTCGCCACCACAGCGTACACAAAGTCGATACAGATAACGACGACTAAATAATAATGTACGGTGCATCAGCTTACAGGAGCGCGACGCGGCTCCGCTGCTCCATGAGGGCCAACATGTCGGCGGCGACGCGCGCCATCTTGTCCTTGGCCGTCGCAGCCATACGGCCGCGGGGCATGTCGTCTGCGATCGACAACGTGCCGAGTTCAATGCCGTCACTCGTCACGAGCGGCACACCATAGAAAAAGCGAATGTTCTCGGCGCCCGTGACGCGCGGCGACGCGGCAAACCGCGCGTCCACGCTCGCATCCGAGACAAACATGGGTGTCCGGCTCGAGAGCACGGCCAGGTTCAGCGCACACGCCGGCGAAATCATGTGCGGCACGTTGTCGCCAAACGCCGCCTTGAGGATGCACTGGCCCTTGTAGACGACGCACACATACGCTTGGGCGACCTCGACATCCTGCACGAGCGACTCGCACATGGCGTCCAGCACCGCGTTCATCTCGTGGTCGACAAAGATGTTTTGCCGGAGCTGCTCGGCTTCCTGCGAATGTTGCAGCGTAATCTCCATCTGAATCGAGCTGCGCGTACGGCCCATTGGTGTCCGCGGTGACGACGCCGACACGGCGCGGGGCGGCGGCACCGCCGATGCCTTTGTCGGTGGTGGTGTCACAAACGTGGTCCGCGCTGGTGTCGGCATGACCATCGTCTTGGGCTGCGGCATGCTCGCCCGGCTCGGCAGAGTACTGGGCGGCGTAGGCCGTGGCGGTGCTTCGCTCTCAGAGCTCGAGAGACGGTCAAAGCGACCACTGTGGTCTTGCGCCTTGTAGTCGCTGCCGCGCGGCGTTCGAAAGCCGGTCCAGAGATCAATCTTTGGGCGCGCTGTCGGTGTCGTCGTCGTTGTCATTGGTGCTGACGAGGAGGACGAGGATGACGTTGGCGTCGTGCTTTTCGGCGTCATGAACGAGTGGCGCAGGTTCCGAGGCGTCGTGCTCTCTTCCGGCAGCGACTGCAGCAGCTGCATGACATCGGTTTGGCAGAACGACTGGCTCGAGCCGTCTTCGCTGAGCTCGCTAATCCGATGCAAAAGCTCTTCGTGGGTCGCAATTTTGGAGTGCTTGAGCGCCTGCACGAGCTGCTTGCCTGCTCGGCTCACGCGCTGCTGGCGGGCACTCGGTCGGCGCATCGAGCCAGTCGGTGCGACCGGTGTCGCGGCCGCCGTCAGCGACGTGGTCGCGAGCACCTTGTTGGTTAAAATGTACTTGGCCTTGCACTGCTCGTAGCAGACACGACACACGCGGAGCTCAAAGCAAACGCCGTTCGTCGACTCGACGCGCTCAATGCTCGAGCACGCGTGGCAAAAGTTGAGGCCGCAGAGCCGGCACACGACCTGTTTGCGGAGCGGCGTGCGCTTGAGACAGCGCGTGCACGCGTCCGAGTGGAGCGCGGTGGCGTCGACCGTTGTGATGTGCGCTGCGAGGCGTCGTCGGACAACGGCATCGGCGAGGATCGCAAGGCCTTTCGCCAGCCGGTGGAGCACATGGTGACCGAACGCGCCGGGCGACGACGACCCGCTCGGCTTTGGCCCGAAATGGTTGCCATAAAACGCCATTTGGACGCGGTCGGAGCCGACGTCTTCAATGTGGTAGCCAAAGAGGAGCGACGTGACGTGCTGGAGCTTGCATTTCGCGTCGACCATGCGGTACACGAGCGGGTTGTCGAGCGATTTGAAGGCGCGGAGCACCGACGACGGCGACGGTTGCTGCATCGCATCCAGAAACACCAAGTCGTGCCGCGTCCGCGAAAAGAAGCGTTTGGTTTCAAACTTGGCGTGCTTGATGGCGCCGGCCAGGCTGCGCTTCGGGACTTCGTCCCGGTCGCTTTGGCTGCTCGGGACGTCCGAGACAACGGTGGCGCTGTCGTCGTCGTCGTCGCGCACACACGGTGCGACGCCGGTCGCTAGCCGGCGCGCGGTTTTGACCTCAATGAGCTCGGCGCCAAAGATACGAGCGAGGAACGCTTGAAAGCCGAGCTGCGCGTCGCACGAAAAAACGTTGAGCACCTCGGCGAGCGACGCAGTGAGGAGCGTCGACGCAAACACCGTGTACGTAGCGGTCGCGCTGCTATAGTCGGACCGGATCGGCGTCTCGTTGTGCCGAAGTAGGTCGTGCTGGATCGCAATCTTCTGGCGGATGTGGCGCGTGATCGACTCGCCGCGCATGAGGACGGCGTCGTCCGTCATCTTTTTCGCGTCTTCGAGAAATGTGCGCGGCCATCGCTCCAACTCGGCCGACGCCCGCGTCGTCCGCGTCTGCTGCGCCGTCCGCCGAAAGTGCTCGCTGCCGTTCTGCGACCCGAGGAACATGCTGGCGCAAATGCAAGACTGGCGCGCGATGCGGAATCCAACGCGCTCAGATGTCGATGTGACTCACCGCACGCAGATCAGTCCTCGTGGGCGTGACAGAGGCGTTTAACAGATGTTTAACGTACTTTAACGCGTTTCGCAGCAGGCCGAGTAATGTGATCACACGACGCTATTGCGCGCATCGTGCTTCGTTGCCGCGCACCCGCACTTGCAAGTGGTTTTCGTGTAGGAGAGGTTGACCGCCACGCCGAAAGGACGCCCCAATCCACTTCAAAATCGCGTCCAGTGACTTTAACGCGTTCAACGTCAAGGCGCCAATAGAAAGTGCAAGGTCACCAAAAGGTAATGTCGGAAAGGCGGCGATTGTGGTTTCGCAGCCGTTGACACCACTACAGTACGCGTGGACGCGTCGACCCGACTAGAATGCATCAGCCAATCGACTAGAATGGACTTGCTGCACTGACTAGGAGGCGTGGCTTGGTGCAGGGAGCCGCCGTGGGCTGCGGATCGACGGCCGTGTCCGCTACTTGGTTCTCACGCGCTCGAGGCATCGCGCGTCGCAGCCCGCCGTTGCAACTGCACTGGTTACTAACGCTGCGCGATGTGTGGGACCGGATGTGAGCAATGTGGCGCAGTCCGGATCGACGCGACCGTCGTACAACCACGATAACCGTGGTCGCTTCCGGCTCTTGTCGTGGGACTCGCTCGTGTGTCATACCGCCGTCGACACTAGTGCGGTGGTCAGCACAACGACGGTGTCGTCGACGCAGCCCCTTTCCTATGCGATCGCTGCGTCGTAGGCTTGCGAAACAAGGCTGGTGACGCGACCTCGTCCTCGCATCGGGCAGGTGGGGAGCTTGGGTGGGGAGCGGTGGGGAGTGTCCAGCGAGAATGTACATGAATATGATTTTGATCGTGTAGACAGCGTAGTCGGGAGTTGTAGCCGGTCGGCGAGCCGGTGGCCAAGGCCAAGGCCACTCGACGACGTTGTTGCTGCTAATACCAGTATCAAGGCTCGAGGGTTTATTCCGCAACAGCGATGCTGTCAACGGCCACTTTGCCAGAACGCCATCGTGCATGACGATGCGGCACATGTCTATGAACTGGCAGCGCCGTCGACGCTGGGGCTTGCAAACGCTGTACCGAAACAGCAACCCGACGCTGTTTCTCAACAAATAATAATGTTTATAAACCATACACGACATTACTCACGGCAACACAAAAACGTCCTTTTGCTGCACACGTAAACCCACCAAGACCATTACGTGAGCCAATCATCGAGCAGTATACAACGAAATCGGTCGGAGCTTGGAGAAGGAGCAAACAAGATGCGCATAGATTGTCCTTTAACTGTGTATATTGCTCGTCTTCTGTAGCTACACGGCAAATGACCAAATAGGTTTGTGCTGGAATTTGCTGCATTGGCGACATGCTTGTGATCGAGTGAGAACTTATCTCAGATACGCTAGTGTACAGCAACCACAACCGACCAATCCCATCGCGGCACAGGGTCGGAACGCGATGTGATTGGTGCGATCTGTGTGCAATAGCACACCCGTGCGCGTGGTCGAGGATCACAGATTATTGTCTGTCGACTAGGGTACGATGTCTAGGGACCAAGACAACCAACGACCGTCGTCCGCGTCACAAAGCAATCGATCCTCCTCCTTCGTTCTTTTCCCATTAAAATGCCTGTTCAAATGGAATCTACTCGGTGCTCTTGATATACCTCACTAGAGTACTAGCTGAGAAGACACGCCGGCTGCAAGCGCCTTCAAGCCGCGCAAATGAGTGGCGTCCAGCCTGACAGAAAAATGCACGGGATTGCCCTCAATTCATTAAATTAGCTTGCGATTTGTATGATGAGTGTATAATTTTATTCGACCCCACGTGCTTCGATGCTCGCCGGAATATCCTGTCACAATGAATCGCCGTGCGCCGCCAATACCCTCTGCAAATCCATATATTCCAAGATCCCTCTCAGAGCGCCCCCTTCTCCGTACGATCTCCACACGCACAGCTAGCTAGCGAGCACCACGAATAGACGGCAAAAACACAGCAATCAACACGCGGACGAGGTCCACCAAGACGCACCTGCACGCTCGCACCTTGCTAGGACACCACGTATTGCCTCATGGCCTCGACAAACCCCAGGTCGCCGATCGCGTCAAAGCGAATACGCCTCTTTCGTCCTATGTACGCCCACTGCAACAGTACAGTGTATGCAAATGGCCGTAGAGGCGCAAGGTCCCCGTGCCGTTCAGAACGCGCTTCCATCGCCACGTTGAGCACTGGTAGATCCTGTGAGAATGTATATCCTGTCACAAACTATATCTGAAGCCAGTATAAATCCAGAGAGGTCCGCTTGCCGGGAGCTTTGGTGCGCAGTTTTTCGCTGCTTGTGGAGGTTCTATGCCGCTAGGGCCTGGGCCGAGTCAGAGCAGTCCAGGAATCGAAGAGTAACGCGCGAGGTCCGTCGTCCGAGGCCAGCAGCAGCATGGCGACAGTCGACGCGGTCCTCCCGGCCACCGCCACGAAGCCATCGAGCAGCGCCGGCCGCGCCCCGTACCAGGTCAAGTTTACCTGCCTCGGCCACAAGAAGGCCATCTCGAGCATCGAGTTTAGCAACTTTGGCAACCTCCTCGCGTCGGCCTGTACGTCGACGCCCAGCTTGCCGATGCAGGGCCTCATGTCGCCGATGTGTAGCGCCCGACAAGACGGTCAAGATATGGAATGCGAGCACGGGCGCGCTCGAGCAGACGTTGGAGGGCCACGAGCAGGGCATCTCAGACATCTCGTGGTCGGCGAACGCCCGCTTCATCGCGTCGGCGTCCGACGACTGCACGGTCAAGATCTGGGACACCGAGTCGAGCGAGACCGTCTCGACGCTGCGCGGCCACGCCAACTATGTGTTTTCCGTCAACTTTAATCCGCAAGGCACGCTGCTCGCGAGCGCGTCCTTTGACGAATCCGCGCGCCTCTGGGACGTGCGCACGGGCCGCGCCGTGCGCATTTTGCCCGCGCACTCGGATCCCGTGACTGCTTCGTCGTTCAACCGCGACGGCACGCTGCTCGTCACAAGCAGGTGCGACCCGTGCCTACTTGTCGGTGTGCTCATGGTGATCTCAATTAGCTACGACGGCCTGTGCCGTATCTGGGACGTGGCGTCCGGGCAGTGCCTCAACACGCTCACGCTCTCAAACGAGCTCAACGACGCGATCATTCCCGTCTCGTTTGCCAAGTTTTCGCCCAACGGCCGCTTTGTGCTCGTGAGCACGCTCGACGGCCGGCTTCGGCTCTGGGACTACGCCCGGAACCGCGTCATCAAGACGTACAGCGGCCACGTCAACAGCTCGTTCTGCGTCTTCTCGACGTTTTCTCTGCACGGGGGGCCGCCCACAATCATCTCGGGGTCCGAAGACAACACGATCGTGCTCTACGACGTCCAGACCCAAGAGAAAGTCCAAGTGCTCTCGGGGCACACGGACGCGGTGCTGGCGGTCGCCGCGCACCCGATGAAGGCGATGCTGGCGTCCGGCGCGCTCGACAAGGACAAGACGATCAAGGTCTGGGAGCAAGTGTACCCGTCGTGCAGCTAGCGTTGTTGCTGCGTTTAATTTTATATGGTCGCACGCGACCACCGTCACCCCTTTCGTAATACTAAATCACCTACTAAATCAACGACTCTTGTGAGGCATCTTGACAAAGGACCGACTAAATGACTAGGAACAATCGGAGAGCAGGCACGAATATTAGAAAAGGTCGTCGGCGACGTTCATCCACTTGGTGAGGTACACGCACGTGGCCGGCGAGACAATGTTGCCATCGGCGCACTGCTCAAAGACGGGGCAGACGCCGCACGGCGCCTCCGAAAGCCCGTCAAACACGCTCACGTCGCGGCAGATCTTGTACGAGACATCGCGCATCTCCTACATAGCAAAATATAAATATCGGAAAATGCACCAGAAAATGATAAGGCAACGTACGCCGTTGGCAAGCCGCGCCGTCCGGACTTCCTCGATGCGTTCGTCGTAAATGAGCGTGTTGACAATTGACATCATCTCGTCTGGGCCCAGCGACACCTTGGCGATCCCCGACTCGTGGACCTTGTCGGTGATTTGCTGCAGCGTCACGACGCCCTACGTGGCCCATGAGCAGGAATCGATATGGCAACGTAGTCTACCTTGGCGCGGATGAATTGGCACACAAAGTTGCTCAGCGTATCGATAAAGTCGTGGTCAAACTCTTGCTCGTTGTACCACGGGCCGCCCGTGATGTCCCGCGATGGCACTAGACAAGGCATGCGACGTCGCCCGTAAGTGAGAGCGCCGTACCGAGGTCGTAGAGCATGTAGAGTTTCTTGTTCTTTTGGCTGATCGACTTGACGGCCTTGACGAGATGGCGCGACTCGAGCGTGCGAATGATCTTGCGGATCGTCATCTAGCATCGCCATACGCTGCAGTGCATGCCATGAACGACGTTGGCTCTACCTCGGGCAGATTGGTCTGCATCTTGATATCGCGCGTCCAGACGCCCTTGTTGCCCGACTTTTCAATCTCGTGGAGGACGGCGCGGTGTTCGCCCCTACAGCATGGCATCGTCGCGACCATGGCCGTCATGCAAGCAAGGTGCGTACGAGAGGCCTTGCATGCGCTCCGACTCTTCCTTGGTCACGAGCTGGTACAGCACGTTGCTGCCTTGCATCAAGATCTTGATGCGACTCTAGCGCAGACGAGCATGAGCGCCACGCATGCATGCTGCACACGTCTACCTCGCCCATGAGCCGGTTGATGCACACCGGCAGCTTGGCGTATTGGTCGCCGAAGCTCTTGCGCACGACGTCGTCACCGACCGGCTCGGTCGAGCTCGCGAGGAGGTCCAGGAACGCCTTCTCGTGGTTCATGCTTCCAAGCGCGTTGTCGAAATCCAACAATTCCGTGGCCATGGAATACTGTCACAATTGATATTTAAATATCAAAAGCCACAGGTTGAAACCGGCGCCATCTTGACAGCAACCCCTTCGACTAACGTTGCGTAGACGAGGAGTGAGCAGAAAGCAATGACAATAGTGTGGTTCAGAGATACTAAATAAAATCGACTAAAACGAGCTCGTCCTGCAGCTCCTGTAGCTAGACTTGGGTAATATCTCGTGGAAGCGCTCGGTGGGCTATGCAAGGTGCAAGCCAAAGGCCTGCATCTCGCAACACGACTGACGACTCATTCCTTGAAGCGACGAGCAATCGAGGTAACGCTGCCACGCAGTTCTTAGTGTCGAGGGTCGTCCCCATGCACTGGACGGTACAGTAGCTTCAACGGCCCGAAATTCTTACATTCTAGGGAAAGCCATGCTGGACGACCTCTGTCGCCAAAGCCGCCTTGCCACAACGTATAAAATGCCCATCGACGGTGCTTGTCGGTCAAGTGTATAGCACCAACTGCCCTTGATGGCGCCTGAGTCGGACTTTACCGCTGCCGATAACAAAATTCCAACGGCTCAGTGTGCACTAGAGTTGCACGTTTGAGTCGGCTAGCCTATTGAAGAGTCGGTCTACTCCCAGGACAACAAAGCGAATGGATAGTCTAGTAACGTTAGGCTATTGATTCGTCGAGTGACGTCGTTGGGGAGTGCTTGTGTAGCGCAGTGGGGACCTTCTGGATCGGGGCTTCTCGCTTCTGATTGGTCAAAACTCGAGGAAATTTGTTGGTGTGGAGTCGTACGCTATGATTGGTTGGGTCGCATTGCCCGAAATCCAAAAGCATGAAGTTCGCGTACGAGGTAGACGCTTGCTGCATGCGCCAGCGGCTCATGCGTCCGCGTAGTTTAGCCACCTCTGTGGCACGGTGTACACGCAAGGCAATGTGGTCTTCACGCCGGATGGCAATGCGCTCCTGAGTCCCGTCGGCAACCGCATCACGATGTTCGACCTCATCAAGTACAGCCTCTGCCACATGCTCGTCGGCTCATGCATCGTCTCGCTCTGTTAGCAACTCGTCGCGCACCTTTGCGTTCGAGAGCCGCTCGAATGTCTTTGCCATGGCCGTCTCGCACGACTCGCGCCTCTTGATTGCTGTCGACGAAGGTACATGCCCGCCTTGCGTCGCCCGCTTCCTGACATGCGTTGGCTAGAGGGCCATTCGCTCCTCGTCAACCTCAAGAAGGGCATTGTCTTGTACCGCTTCAACTTCAAGGCGCCGGTCCGCGCGCTGCGCTTTAGCCCGGACGACAAGTACATTGCGGTGACCCATGGCACCAAGATCCAGGTGTGGAAGGCGCCGGGTCTCAAGCGCGAGTTTGCGCCCTTCGTGCACCACCGCACGTACGGCGGCCACCACGGCGACGTGCTCACGGTCGAGTGGTCGCCCGACTCGAAGTTCTTCCTCTCGTCGGCCAAGGACCTCTCGGTGCGTCTCTGGTCGATCACGCCGTACCCGACGTTCACGCCCTACTCGTTTGTCGGCCATCGCGACGTGGTCATGGGCGCCTTCTTCTCGGAAGATGGGTCGAGCGTCTACACGATCGGCCGCGACGGCGGCGCGTACCGCTGGGAACACAACTACGACGACATCGACGACGACTTGGACGACGACGACGAGACGCCGATCATTGCGCGTGGCGTCAAGTGGTCGACCAAGCACAAGCACGTCTTCAAGATGGAGTACGCCAAGATCGACTGCGTCGCGTTCCACGCGGCCTCGAGCCTTTTGACCGTGGGCTTTGGCAATGGCACCTTCGGCCTCTACTCGCTGCCGGACTTTGCCGACATTCACACGCTCAGCGTGACGCAGCACCGATTGAGCTCGGTCGCGATCAACGCGTCCGGCGAGTGGCTCGCGCTCGCCTCGCAGACGCTCGGCCAGCTCCTCGTGTGGGAGTGGAAGTCGGAGACGTATGTGCTCAAGCAGCAAGGCCACTTTTTCGATCTGAACGCGCTTGCGTACTCGCCGGACGGCCGGCTGCTCGCGACCGGCGCCGACGACGCCAAGCTCAAGCTCTGGGACACGACGTCGGGCTTTTGCTACGTGACGTTCCACGAGCACCAAGCGCCGGTCACGGGCGTGGCTTTCTCGGCCAACGGCCAAGCGGTTGTCAGCTGCTCTCTCGACGGGACAGTCCGTGCGTTCGATCTCAACCGGTACAAGAACTTTCGTGTGCTCACGACGCCAAACCCGGTCCAGTTCTTGTCGCTGGCGCTCGACACGAGTGGCCAGATTGTGTGCGCGGGCACATTGGACCCGTTCCACATCTACGTCTGGTCGCTCCAGACCGGTCGCCTCACCGATGTGCTCAGTGGGCACACGGCGCCGGTGACGTCGCTCGCGTTCTCGCCGTCGACGACTGAAGAGCTCTTGCTCGCGTCTGGCTCGTGGGACCACACGGTCCGCGTCTGGAACGTGTACCAGAACAAGCCGTTCATCGAGCCGCTCGCACACTCGTCGGATGTGCTTGCGGTAGCTTTCCGCCCCGACGGCAAGCAGGTGTGCTCGGCCACGCTCAACGGGCAGCTCAACCTCTGGAACATCGCCGACGGGGAGCAGGTCGGGCAGATTGACGGCCAAAAGGACGTCTCGGGCGGTCGCCACTCGACCGACGCGATCACAGCGAAGAACAACACGCGCTCCAAGCACTTTACGTCCGTGTGCTACTCGGCCGACGGCTCGGTCGTCCTTGCCGGCGGCCAGTCCAAGTACATTTGCATCTACGAGGTCGCGTCGCGTTCGCACTTGCTGCTCAAGAAGTTCCAGCTCACGCACAACCGCAGCCTCGAAGGCGTCCTCGACAAGCTGCACACGGCCGAGCTCACGGAAGCCGGTTCGAAAAAGTCCCTGGACCTCGACGTCGACCCGATCGACGGTCACGTGACCAAGGACAACCAGCTCGTGGGCGCCAAGCGCGCGGTGGACCCCGGCGCTCGCCGCAAGCACCTCGATATCTTCTCCAAGGCCGTGCTCTTCTCGCCGACCGGTCGGTCGTGGGCGGCGGCGACGACCGAAGGCCTCCTCATTTACTCGCTGGACGAGACGCTGACGTTCGACCCGTTTGACTTGGACGAAGACATTACGCCCGACACGATCCGCGCGACGCTCGCGCGCCACGAGTTCACCAAGGTATACGAAAGGACGCTGAGATGTCGGTGGATCTAACACGTGGGATGTAGGCGCTGCTCATGTCGCTCCATTTGAACGAAGAGCCGTTGATTCGCCTCTGCCTGGAGAGCGTCCCGAACGACAGCATCGTGCTTGTCGCGCAGTCGCTCACCGATACGTACCTCAAGCGCCTCCTTACGCTGCTGGCCAAGGGCCTCGGCGAGAGCCCGCACTTGGAGTTCTACTTGAGCTGGAGCCTCGCGATTCTGAACGCACACGGCCCGATGCTCCAGGCGCACTCGGTCGAGTTTCTCAGTACGCTCCGTGCGCTCCAAAAGAGCATTGTGATCCACTTTAGCGAACTCTCGCGCGTGTACGACCTTGGCGTTTCAGTTGAAACCTTGATATTTATATCCATATGTTGTAGGTGCAACGACAACCAGTACACGCTCGACTACCTCCGCAACTTGAACCAGCTCCAGATCGCCCAAGCCGCCGAGAGTACGATGGAGTAGATGCATTGGAGCTGGTGTAACCTACCGTTGCGCGCTCCCACGCGAGTGCAAGACGACCGTATATATAGAAACACGCTGTGCATGATGACTTGAGCGCTCTGTGTTGGTGTCGATGGCCCACGCGTCACCGCTGCCAAGGGCCAGCCGACAGCCAAACACCGTCCAGGCTCTTATTGGGACTACGCTGGTAACTAGAAGACCTCTGGGAGACCTCTTGGGAAACGCAAGGCGCCGAAAAGACACCGCATGACCGACGAGTTTGTTGGTGTTGCTACGAGTATGCTGGTGGCATCTGGGTGCCAACCCCTGCCACGTCACCGACCCGTCCTGACCAAAGCAGAAGCTCACTACTTGGTATATCGCAGAACCTTGGGCTGCTAAGACAGCTTCCGATCCTCTGAGCCTTCGTCGAAGCGGCTCGTTGCATCTGTCGTTGCAGCGACTCGACTCTGGCGCTGTGCCATGCGGCGGGGCGCAGGTGGCGGGACAGGCGGGACGTCAACCGGTATCCTCCGGATACCGGTTTGACACGACGTTGGCCACGTAGACAGTAAGAAGCGAGGTGCGAGATGGACCCGTTCCAAGCGCGCTTGAGCCAGCGGGCGATGCGCAACCCGTACAAGCACGACGAGGACGCGCTGCCCGTGCGCATCAAGACGGCGGTCGGCGCCTTCACCTTTGTCGTCTTTCTCTTCTTTGTCTTGACGCCGAGTGCGCCGAGTGGCGGTGAGCCCGGGCGGGCGCTGCGGCAGGTTGCGCTACCGCCGACGCCGCTCGCAATCATGACGTTCAACTTGCGCTTCGCGGGCGCCAACGACGGCTACAACAGCTGGGACTACCGCAAGCAGCACGTGTACGACCTTGTGGACCGGTACCATCCCGTCATCATGGGCACGCAAGAGGGCCTGAAGGACCAGCTTGCCGAGCTCCACGCCAACTTGGCCGGCAATTACGAGCGGTTCGGCGTCGAGCGCGAGCCCAACGGCGAGTTTGAGCAGATCTTCTACGACGCCGACGTCCTCGAGCGCGTCGACGGCGACAACTACTGGCTCTCGGATACGCCCGAGGTGCCGCATGAGACGGCGTGGGGCGCGCCGTGCGTGCGCATGGTCACGTGGTGTCGCTTCCGCCTCAAGGCGACGCGCCAAGAGTTTATCTTTATCAACACGCAGTTTGACCACCGCAGCGAAGAGTCGCGGATCAAGAGCGCGGCCCTCATCTGGGACCGCATCCAGTCGTTCGATGCGTCGCTGCCAGTGTTTGTGGTCGGCGACTTCAACACGTACCGCCACACGTCCGTCTACTCGTACTTGACATCCGAAGACGGCGCGAACCTCGCCGAGGCGTGGCAGACCGCCGACCACACGATCGGCGACGTCTCGTACACGTACCACGGGTGGGCCGGTGTCGACAACGACGGCGAAAAGGTCGCCGACGTCGTCCGCGCTGAGAACCACATTGACTGGATCTTGTACCGGCCGCGGAACCTGAAGGTGCTTACGACCGAAGTCATCACCGAGTCGCGCGATGGCCGGTACCCGTCCGACCACTACCCGATCCAGGCCTCGCTTCTCCTTCCCAACGTCGACGTCCTCCCGGCACCGCGTTTGCACTAGAGAAGTCGCTGATCGTCAATACTGTACATACGACCGATTTTGTCGGATTCAAATCTATGGTAGCTTATGTAGCGGCGTCGACTAGTAGCAGTTGAGCGGATAACCCGGGCCGTGTTGGTACTGGACCGTGTCCAGTGCCACTGTCTCGTACCGAGTCGTAAAGTCGCCGAGGATGTAGAGACCGCTGAGCTTCGAGAGCACCTCGAGAAACTGACATTGGGACGGGATCGTCCACGGCAGCAGCGTGTTCTTTGGGTCTTGGCGCCACCCCGCCGACTCGAGGAGCGGAACGGTATACGCTGTGGTCGCGCCATCAAACTGCGGCGAGTTGCTCTGGGCCCACGCCAAGCGGACACCCGCGTTGAGATTGCAGGTCGCGCAGTCGAGCAGCACGAGCGGCGCCTGGGACGGGTCGTTGCGCGCGGTAAAGTCGCCTTCGGACGCCGCGAGAAGGAAGCTGAGGACACCTCCGTACGTGTACCACTGATTCCCGAGAAACTTGAGCGGCGCGGCGAAGTACCAGAGGACCATGTCGGTCCCGGATTGCGGGTTGGTTTGAATCATGGCCTCTATATTCCCAATGTTGCACAAGTTGTCACGACACTCGTACCGGTGGCGTAAACATAGTAGCTCAATGGTCCCCGGCTTGTCGGGTCAAAGATGGGCTGCACAGACGACAAATTACGTGCACTGCACCACAGTGTCCTAGGCGCACCTGCGTCGCTTGCTGGTTTTGAATGAGCTGCCAGCCGTCTGTATCAAAGTTGAAGTGGCTCGTCATGACGGCCGCGTTGTGCGAGACGGTGATGATGCCGGGTGCGGACGTGACGCTGCCGTCGTAGACCGTGTACGTAAACTCGGTAAACTAATTGACAATATTGTGTGGGCTCCGAGTGACAATATTGTACACGCGCGACAGTACCTTGGTGTCGAGCGGCGACGACGAGAACGGCCGCGAAAACACCACGCGCGCCTTGGAGCCGGTCACGAGGCTTGGCGTGGACGCCACCGGGCTCGCTGCCTTCTTGGGGTCGTAGCCGTAGTCGCTATAGACCTGCGAGAGCTGGTACAACGCGCCCTGCGTGGGCAGCGACGTGATCGCGTAGGACAACTGGCGGCCACTCGTACTGTAGCCCTTGAGCGCCACGACCACGTCCTCGCCGGGCGATACGTGTACGGTCAAGTGGCGCGCGACCAGCGTCGTCCTACACCGTGTCTTTGTCTTGTGTTCATTGCAGCTTGGAGACGCTACTGTGCACAGCTCAGCGCCGCGACGGCGAGGGCGGAGAGCGCCGATCGGACGAGCATGTCGACAGGCTATTCCCGGGTCGGCCCTGAAACCAACACTCGATTTGATGGCCAATAAGACATTATATTTCTTATTTCGTATAGGGTCAAGGTGTCTAGTCGCCGCGGCCGTCGCAAGTCGAGTGGCTTAGGAGATGACGAGCGTCTCGTCGTCGTCGTAGCCAAAGTCACTCTTGTACGTATCAAAGATGCGCTGCAGAGCGGCCGAGTACGTGGCGTGGTACGCGAGGCAGTCGTCGTCGGTCGGATCGTCTTTTTGTTCGACCTGATATATCGAGGACAATATGTCATTGTACGAGACCACTATAACAATATGGATATACCGCAATCGGCGCGCCGTAGACGATGCCCATGTGGCGCTTGCCCGCGAGACGCAGCGGGACCCACGTGCACCAGCAGCCCCAAAAGAGAAGCAGCGGCACTTTGAACACTTGGAGTACCGTCGCGCGCAGTCCTTTCGGCGGGTTCCACAGGCTAGCACCGATCGTGTCGGCACCGGGGCATAAGGAAGGAGAGACGTACTTGTACATCCACTTTTCGCCAAACACAAAGGTCGGCACGAGGTCGGCGCCGTTCTTGATGGCGAGTTTGATGAACCCGAGACGCTTCTTGAGCACGAGTTCGGTCTACAGCGTGCACACAATAAGACAATGTGCGACAGCTCAATCGACTTGTCGTACTTGCTTGATGTTGGGGTTGGTCAAGAAGATTTCTTTTGAACCGCCCGGGTAGACGACGATGCTGAGCTTCTTGTCGAGGACCTTTTGCGCGGTCGAGCGCGACGCATCCACGGCGCCGAGCCTATGAACCAGTTCGCTTGGTGTTGCGTGCAAACAGACAGACGCACCAGAGGCACAATTCACGCCCGAGGGGCACGTAAAACATGGGCGTCGCGCCGAGTGCTAGCATCCCCTTATCATGAGTACAAGCGCCATGGTAGTGATGTACCGCGGACTTCGATGCCCGGATGCACTTTCTCCCAGTTGCCAGCGTAGCACGACATGCGCGAGAGGACGAGGATGCCATGCGGGTGAAAGCCAAAGATGTACTACATCCATCCAGCATGAGAGACGAGGACGCTGACGACCGTACCTGCTTGGACGCGTCGAGCGCTTGTTCCCGGACAATTTCGAGGCTAGTTCGATGGTAGGTAAGGGATAGATGCTGACGAAGGACGTACCCAACGTATTCGCACATGAGCTTCCACAGCCAGTGCATGCGGAGACCGTCCCACTGCATACCGCCGGTCGCCGGCGTGAGCTTGCGGTGCGCGCCGTTGAGATACGACGGCAGGTAGAGCGCGACGACAGCCGCGCTCACATAGCCATAGCCAATCTAATAGGAGGCCATCTTGGTCAGTGCCGTATCGACAAGCGTAGTACCGCGTAGAGGTAGTAGAGGCCCGCGACGGCGACCCAAAACCACAAGAGGTAGTGGATCGAGACAAAGGCCACCGAGAGCTGCAAAAAGGTGCTACGTAGCGTGTGCATAATTGTCATTCGAACTAAGGACAATACTCTACCGAATCGCCTCGGGAAAGTGCGGGAGCACGCGCTCGGTCGGGAAGCGCACGACGGTCGCCATTGGCAAGTTGCAAAATGACACCGTGCCTCCTGCGCTGCGTATCCGGACGACCAGCTGCTGGTTTGGCTAATCGCACGCCAACAAACGTCCTGTTGACGCGACGCCCAAGAGATGGACACATCCTGATCCGACAAACGTCCGTGTCCTTGCCAAGAGAGCTGCCACGTTGCTCTACGTCGCGCGGCTGGACCCAGCGCGTCGCCCCGTTTTTGGTCATACCAATATTCTGTTTCGTCGACATCCAGTGTTTGGTAATCCTGGTGGGTTTCGCATCAGAAAGGTCGCGTTGGGGCACGTCCGGCCTCGCCAGCCGACTAAAGAAGCCGCAAGCCATGGAAGTCGTCGATCGGAAGTCAATTGCTCCGGGGCATATAACGGGTACGTGCTCGGCGCCATCCGTTGACGATAGCTCGTCCGGACTGTGCTATGTTGACGTCAATACTGCGATGCACTACTACGTGGCACAGCAGCGTACCTTGGAGCGAGACGAGTGCCTTGGTCACCGTGCCAGAGACCGCAAGAACTCTTCTTCCATAGGCATACATGCAAAAACGAATGTCAAACACGAGAAGACCCGACGATGACAACGTCCTGCATCCCAGGACGCGGGAACGACGAAGGTAGAGCCGGCAAGCTCGGACCGTCGTGGACGCATTGGCGAGGTCTCCACGCACCAGCTCTCGACCTTAAGCGTTGGCCATTACGCGATCCATTTCCAATCGCAGCTACGATACGCAAAAGCTTCTCGCAGTGTTGGCATATACCGGTACATGTAGTACCTGTACCGGTAGCAACATGCGTGCTCGACAAAGGCTACCAGTCTTTGAATGACGTGGCAATAGCGCTGACCTTTGACGCCTTTCGAGATGCGTTATAGCCTCCAAAACAAGCTTCGCAAGGTGACCTGTTCTTGTGCGCCAGCATGCTTCGGACACCTTGACGTTGTATTCGCACAAGGCGTCATGCTGCCGGCCTACAACGTCATTTGATTGGCTACAAAAGAGCGATTTGTACTTTTGTATGCGAATTGCTGCGTTGCCTCTGCGGCGATTATCCGGTTTCTCGGTGCAAGGTGGACGCATGCAACACCCTGACGCCGACGGGACCGACGCGGTACCCGACCCTTCTGCCTACCTCCGCGCCGTCTCGCATGGCCAGCAGTCGCATGCAGCCACAGCACATAGCGGCGGCCTCGTCGACGCCCAAGACGTGCACGAGCGACCACCAGCAGCGGCCCACAAACGCTCCATGCATGACTTCTGCTAGATGCTTCGCCCGTCAGCGCTCGTGGTCGCTGCTCGCTCCGGCAATGTCGACCTTGTCGCGCGACTCTTGGACGCTGGTGCGGCCACCGAGATGGTTGACGACGCGGTGCGCCCGTTCGCCTCCGTCGATCATCTCACAGACAGGACGCGTAGGGCGTGACTCCGCTGCTGGCGGCGACCACGCGCGGTCATCGGAGCATCGTTCGCCTCTTGCTCCAGCACGGCGCCCACGTCACCGCAGTGCCGCTGCCGGTGCAACCCGCCATTCCCAAATCGATGTCTCAAGACACACATATTGTAGGACGCAACGGCCCCGCTGGTGGCCGCCGCGACGCGCGGTGACGTCCCGATCTGTACGCTCTTGCTCAACCACGGCGCCGACGTCAACATTGGAGCGGAGCAGGCGCGGTCAACACTGCGTCACGCGCGCTCATATCGCGTAGACGGCGCTGCACATTGCCGTGCGCTTGGGGCACATCCCGCTGGCGCAGCTCTTGCTCGACTACAACGCCCACGTGGACGCGCGACCAACGAGTATGACACCGCTTTTGCTTGCGGTTCAGCGCCACCACGTGGAGATGATCAAGCTCCTCCTTCGGTACGGCGCCAATCCAACGCTTGTCTCCAAGGTTCGATGGCAACACGACGTGGTGACACGTGGAGTTCTTGGTGCATGGTCGTAGGCGGTACAACTCTCGCCGCTGCAAATGGCGCGCCAGAAAGGCTACATTGGCCTCGTCATGCTGCTGCGGCACTTGGCGCCGCTGCACTTCTCGGTCCGGACAACACGCATGGGCCTCATCGAGCGCCTCTTGCACCGCACAGTGGTGGCGCCAGGAGGTCGGTTCGAAGACGAAGTCTTTGTCTCGTTTGCGGACCGGAGCGACACGACGGCGCTTTTGTTTACAGCTGTGCACTGCAACAACGTGGCATTTGCGCGCCGCCTCTTGTCCCGCGGCGTCGACCCCAACGTCGCCTCGACCGTACGTGAGCCGCCCTGTGCAAGAGACGTTTACGAAAGATGCGGTAGGCGGGGTTCACGCCGCTTTTGCTGGCCGTGGCCCGGAATTTGCTCGAAATGACAAGAGAGCTATTGGAGGCCAACGCCGATACGGAGCTGCCCAACCACGTAGCCTTGCACGCTCTGACGGACGATGTTTGACGTACTATAGGCGGGCGTCGTGCCGCTCTGGGCTGCGTACAACAACAATGATCTGGCCATGACGCGCTTGCTCCTCGACTACGACGCAGACCCAAACGCTTCGTTCATGGTAGTGGCATATGTATACTCCTTGGTATGATTGAGTGGCTAGGGCGGCTCGTTGTTCATCTTAGCGGCCAAGCAGCGCCGGCTACCGTATCTGGAGCTCCTTCTGTCGTCCCGGCGCGTCGATGTCGACCAAGTTGATAGTGTACGTTGCGTCATTGATTGCTGAAGATTAGCAATCGGTGCTAGAACGGCCGCACTGGGTTCGAGTATGCGTGTGTATATGGCGACCTCGACTGCGTCCGACTGCTCGTGCGGCACGGTGTCAACGCCACGGCGGCGGTTCGAAACCGGCAACAGACAACCCTTGCTTTGACTCTGAGTTGGCGCTAGGAAGGCAAGACGCTGCTCATGTTTGCGGCCAAGTACGGGGCGGGGCCGATCGTGTCGTACCTTCTTCCACTCTCCGACGTCAATGCCGTTTCCAACGTACCTTCTTTGGAGGACAATATGTGCATCTGTCTTCAATGATGTAGAATGGCTACTCGGCCGTCGCGGTGGCTGCCTACTATGGACATTTGGACGTCGTACGCCTGCTTGTCGCCCACGGTGCGGTACTGGACCCGACCGACAAGGTATCGTTGGTTGGCAACGCCATGCGGTGACCGACCGTGCGTAGGATGCGGTGTTTCCACTGCGTATCGCGGCCCAAGAAGGCCACGCCCGCGTTGTCGAGTACCTAGTTTCTCGAGTCCACGATGTCGACCGACGCAACTGCGTACGCATCTCAAATTTCGCAATATTTTCTCCAAACTGCCTAGTTTGGCGATACGGCCCTGTACATGGCAGCGCAAAACCAGCACGTGGAGGTCGTGCGCTGCCTCTGCACCAAAGCCAACGTCAACTTGGCCATGGAGGTACGACTCTATCATTGTTTCTACGAAAAAGACGAGTCGTATCGGACTAGGACGGCTCGACGAGTCTCTGGCGCGCGTGTTTGGATGGCAGCACTGTGATTGTCGACCTGTTGGTGCAACACGGCGCCGATATCAACATGGCGTCCTTTGTACGTCTACAGCTCACAAGACAAGTTGTGCACAGTGCGGGTACTAGGATGGGAATCGGCCGCTCGTGACTGCGGCCGAGAAGGGCCATTTCGAAGTGGTCCTTCGGCTGCTCGACGATCGCGACAGCGTTGATGTGGACGCCACCAACCAAGTGACACTTTGCCGCTGTACGCGTGTTGGAGTATCGCATGTGATTAGGAAGGCAAGACGGCGCTGTACCAAGCGAGCTGCTTTGGCCACGTTGAGATTTGCCGCGCGCTCTTGAAGGCCCACGCGACTGTCACGGTGGCCACGACGGTACATACTCAACTCAATCATTCTTTTTGACGCAACTCGATTCGTTTTTGACGTTGAGTGTGAGCGTAGAAGGGCGTGACCCCGATTGTGATTGCGATTGTCGTTCAAAACGCCGACGTTGTTGAGCTCTTGCTTCCCTCCGTGCGCATCAACGAGCCCCTCCTCGTACGCTAGTGTCAACACCGTCGGGTTGAGTGGAGAATAGGGGTCGACGCTGTTGCACATGGCGATCCAGCGACGCAGCGTCCGCATCGTCGAAGTCCTCGTTGCGCACGGCGCCGATCTCGAGGCGCTCGACAAGGTGCTTGACTCAACTCAAAACATATTCTCAAAACGTATCAAGGACGGCCGGTCGCCGCTTGTCTTGGCGGCGCACCTCGGGTCGGCCGAGATCCTCCACCAGCTCGCGCCTGCTGTGAGCAACATTGATGCAGTGTTTCAGGTAGCTCGACGCGCGATGGTGACGTCGTCGAATTCATCTTGCGTAGGACGGCTACACGGCGTTGAGTGTCGCAGTCGAGCAAGGGCACCTGGGCGCCGTCGAGGCCCTTGTCCAGCACGGTGCGAGCCTCGCTGTGACAACCGAGGTACGACGCGATCGCATCCACAAGACACTATGTATGACCAACGCTACCAGATTGGGTTGACGCTGTTGCATTTGGCGAGCTTCTCGGGCTGGCGAGATGTCGCCGCGTACCTCTTGGAGCGCGGCGCAAATGCGTTGGCGACAGACAAGGTGCGTCAAGGTGCAGCGCTTCGAAAATGTACAATCTGTCCATAGATTGGCGGACGGAGCATCACGTATGCAGTTACGAATGGCCACGCCGACGTTGTTGCTCTCTTGCTGCCCCACGCGCATGTCAATGCTGTGGTATCGACGACCCTACCCCTCGTTCGCATCACTGACAGCAGGCGTAGGAAGCATCGACCCGTCCCGTGGTCGTCGTGGCCCACGACACGCCCAGCTTGTGCATCGATTTGCAGGTACTACGTGGACATAATTGTCATTCTCTCTCATGATAGTGTCTGTTGTAGACGGGGTTTAGTCTCTTGCACTTGGCCGTGTCCCACGAGCACATGACGACCATGGCCGTCTTGTGCGGCGCCGAGACGCTCAATGTCAACCAAAGAGACCCGGTACGAAGAAGTGATATCTTCATATTTGAACGTACTGAAGAGTATGCTCGATGGACTAGGTGTTTGGCCTCACCGCACTGCACATTGCGTGCGCGTGTGGGCACGTCGAGGCCCTCGAGCTGCTCCTCGGACACCCCCATGCGTCTGTCAACGCCCTCGATTTGGTAGAATTGTTTCTTATAGCATATATGTCGCGGAAGATGCGACGAGGGTCGTAGGCCGGCCGCACCCCATTGATCGTCGCGTGTCAGTATGGTCATGCCGCCATTGTTGCGTCCTTGCTCTCGACGAGCCGCCCCCACCGGACTGCCGAGACGCTTGTGTGTCGCCCATGCTGGGTTAGCGAAATACTGAACGCGTCTCTAGGACGGCAAGTCGGCGTTTGCGATGGCGGTGGCGTACGGCCACAAGGAGATCGCAGCACGCTTGATCCTCGAACACGACGTGGCCGTTCAGATAGCGCACGACGCACTATGACTAAAGTACATGTCGCATAACTAACTCGTATCTTCTCGTCCCCTGTCCAAAGTCGTGGCGAAGGGGTCGCGAGCAACAAGTCGAGAACGCACAGCTAAAATTCTGTCATTTCTGTGAGGACCAAGTGTTTTCTTAGGCAATGACGAGGGTTTCGTCATCGTCGTAGCCAAAACTCGCCTTGTACGAGGAAAAGATCGTCTGGAGACTCGCGACGTATTTGGCCTGGACTGCAGCAACCTCGTCGTCGGTCGGGTTATCGCTCTGCTGGACCTAGTCGCCATCAACAAAGAAACAATCAAATAAATCATCAAAGAATTCAACAAAAATACCGGGATTGGTTTGCCGTAGACAACACCAAACTTGCGCTTGCCCGTAAACTGGTACGGCATCCACGTGCAGAAGCGGCCCCAGAAGAGCAGCATCGGGACCTTGAGGTACGTCAAGAACGCTTCGGTGACCGACTTTGGCGGGTTCCACATGCTATTCATCCTCCATTGTTGTACAAGTTGTCATAGAAAGAGGTATTGACATACTTGTACATCCACTTTTCGCCAAAGACGAAAATCGGCACGAGCTCGACGCCGTTCTTGATGGCGAGCTTGATGAACCCGAGGCGATGGTTCAACACGAGCACCGTCTACACCCATTCAGTTACAGAGTCCGTCGCTCCAGTCAGGTACCTCTTTTGAGTTGGGGTTGGTCTGGAAGATTTCCTTCGAGCCGCCCGGGTACACAATGATGCTGAGCTTGTTGTCGAGGACTTTTTGGGCCGTGGCCCGCGACGCGTCGACCGCGTCGAGCCTAGTCAGGTGCTTCGTTCGACTCCATCGTTTTATTGACAGTGTTGCGTACCAGAGGCAGATCTCGCGGCCCAACGGGACATAAAACATGGGCGTCGCGGCGAGGACTAGTGGACGCCGTCGATGAGCTGCCAATCACAAGCAAGCTTGTCGCGCACCGCGGGCGTGGATGCCGGGAAAGAGCGCGTCAAAGTTGCCAGCGTAGTACGAGAGCCGCGAGAGTATAAGGATGCCGTGCGGGTGGTAGGCAAAGATGTACTAATCACATCATCAATACACCGAATCCCGCAATCGGAATCGAGTCACACACCTGCTTGGTGGCATCCAGCGCTTCTTCGCGGACAATTTCCAAGCTACAAAAGACCATCGGGATGTCGGCATTTTGAATCTATCAAACGTACCCGAGGTATTCGCACATGAGGTTCCACATGCCGTGGTTGCGCAAGCTCGTCCACTGCTTCCCACCCGTCGCGGGCGTGACCTTGCGGTGCGCGCCGTTCAAGTACGTCGGGAGGTAGAGTGCGATGAGCGCCACGGCCACGTAGCCATAGCCCATCTAGATGTGCATAAGATCTGAGAGAATTCTCAAACGAGCATTGCTGTACGTAGTAGAGATAGAGAAGGACGGCGGTCGCCGCCCACATCCACTGCAAATAGTGAATCGAGACAAAGACAATCACATACTGGAGCGCCACGCTACATATACGATCTTAGTTGTCCTCAAAGTTGCGAGTCGAAAGAGCGCACCGAACAAACTCGGGCAACTGCGTGAGCACGCGCTGCGGCGTGTACCGAAGGGCCATCGTCGGAAGGAATCGAAAATGAACCGCTCATCAAGTTCACCGTGGATCGCGCGTGACGTCACAAGGCGTCTGGCCAATCATGTGAGACGATGACGCGCCAGGTCGTCCAGGCTTGCGGGCCACTGGCGCCAGCAGGCGAATGCAGCCAATCAAAACGCTGTTTCGTCAACGCCCGTGCCATACGTCAACGGGTGTACACCTCTGAGACTTGATATTACCCCGCGCCGTGCGACAACCGACAGCAAAGTGCCCTTTAAAAACCTGCGATTTCGCATATTCAAGCACACTTTATACTCCACGTGGTAGCATCAGCCAAAAATGCATCAGTTAATATACTGTAGAATCGCATTTCGTATCCTTTGAAAACCTTCGAAAGCGTATACATTGGCTGGCACCGTGAGAGTGCTCGTGCTCGCAACTCGTTGTTGGAGGCTACGCTCACTATCGTGGCAGCTGCGAGGCTGCGGCGGTGTCAAGTCGTCGCGGCTCAGAAGTAGAGCGCTCTTTTATACCGTGCTGACGCATTCTCGACTGAATGCTAACGCTAGAAAATGTGTGTCATGAAAGGGTAGAGTTGATTTTTGAGGCATTATCCTAATGTTGACGGCCGCGCGGTCATCGCTTCGTACATGAGCTCGTCGTCTTCATCCATCTCATCACGCTTGCACTGGGCAACCACAAGTGCCCAAAAGACAGGAAATGCCAGCACGGAGAGAGCCAACGCAGAGTACGCAAGTGCCTCCAGGAGCTGCTTGAGCAAGCCACTGAACTGCGCTTCGTAGCAAAGTAGCAAACGACTTGTTTGGTACATTTGGCTCAAATACTGTCGACGGCAAGTCTTGGCTTGCGGATACGTCAGCAGAAACGGGTACAGCTTGGGGCTAGCGCCCATGATGCACACGGCCGCCGTTGCGTCGACTTTGGTCAGCGGACAATGCTCGTGGATCCAGTCGCCAAAAGACGACGTGTCGTCCGGCGTTGCCACCGCGTGACGGCAGCCATCGCACGCAACATTGATCGAACGCTCGGCCGCCAGTACACTAGAATTGACTTTGTCGCAAAATTGCAAGAGGGTCGTCGCGTCGTCGATCGGGACGCCAAAGAAGGTCGATGATGTGTTGAGCAGCGCCTGGATACGACTTGTGTCCGTCTTGTTGTCAAAGATGCGCGGTTGGACGAGCGTCTGCCGCAGAGGAAAGGCCGCGCAGTACGATTTACCCTCACGCGCACAGTAGGTCTCTTCCAGCGCATACTGAGCGCTGTACTCGATGCCACGATTGGAGCAGTCCGAGTACGTTTCGACGAGGTACCCATTCGAGCTGTAGGAACGCTGGGAATACCATTCCATTTGGTTTGCCTCCATCTTGGCCACGTCTTTGGCGGTGTACTCTACGCGAGAGGCATCTGGCCAGTAGGTAGAGCTCGTCGCCAAGAGAGCAGGAAGACCCATGAGCGCGCAGAGACCGACGGCACCAAACAGCACGAGCAACAGCGGGGTCGTGGACGCCAATTTGGCGGCGCGGCGCGCGTGCACGAGGCCGGAGACGACGAGACAGAGACCGACGCAGCCGCCGGCGATCGCAGCGTCAGCCAGCGGGACGAGCGGCCGGAGGAAGCTCGAGAGAAGGACGCTCGGCACCGCGACAAAGTACAGAAGAGCAAGGACACTCCACGCAAGGTACGCGCGGATCGGCCACGTGACGAGGTACATGGTGTCGAGGCGAGGTGAATGGCAAACTGCAAAGAAAGCGAATGCAAGCGGGTAGAGTGGTACGACACGTTGAGTCCAACGCGACTGGCCACGTGTGACATGGGCCCAGAAACGCTGTAGACGTGAACAGCTGGCTCGGACAGGCAGACCCTTTTGCAGCAAGGGTCGTTTGTGTAGTAGAGTTGGCCCATGCCGGCGCTACAAGCCAGGGCTAATAAGATCTTATTCGGGCATGGGACCGCCGTGCGAGACCGTCCTTGAACCAAAGAGAAACGAAAGCGGGCGCGAAGCTGGCGTGCTCATACCGCGAACCACAAAGACGTATCCGTCAGTGGGCTAATAGAGTGGCAGGCTTCCAGTGTTTGACACTTCGATTAATGTCAAACACACCGAAAGGACAGGCCATGGTCAGGTCCACCACTAGCGCTACCGGTATGCAATCGACATACTTATCTGTGGCCATCGAGGTTCGGGTGACCATTGTCGTATGCACATACATACTATTTATGGCAAATGACGTCTCGTCACATTGATACCGCGCTGGGATAAATCATTACCTTGACTCGTTTTGTGCGCAAATGGCCGACGCCACATTTCCGCAACGAGGTCGACCGCATCATTCGGCTCTAAAACGTCTTCTACGCGATGTTGCCGATCGACCTTGGCCAATGTTGTGAGGCATGGGGGACCTGCTTCCCAGTGGGCTTCAAAATTTTGTGTATATCGTACAAACACGCAATACCATATTGGGCAATATCGCAATTGAATCTCTAGCCTTGCGACTTGTGTTACTCTAGCCCAACCTCGAGCCAGTAGGCCTCTCCATAGGCCGGCTCGAGCCGTGGAGCCGACGGTTCGGTCGATCTTGCTGTGGCTCCGCTCCATTTTTCGAGCCGAACCATGGAGAGACCTACTGCTTGTATCCCTCTCCACAGTTCGCGTCTACTGAGTAGCAAGCAAAAGGCTCGATAAGCCAAACAAACCCAATGGACCAAGTCAAGCCAAGACCCAGTGGAGTGCATTGGCGGGGGAATTACGGATAAATAAGTGTTAACCGGAATTGAGACATTTGTTGGATCGGCAAGTGGATTGCGAGGCCATTTTGGGCACGAAGGCCGCCGAGTTCCGCAGATCGCATCGTGCAACATGGCAGCAACCACGAAGCTCATGCAGCGCCTCGGGCTCCAGCTGCCCGTGATCCAAGCGCCCATGTACAACGTCTCGACGCCGGCCCTCGTGGCGGCGGTCCATCGCCACGGCGCTTTAGGTTCGTACGGCGCCGGCTACAAGGCGCCCGACGCGCTCCGCGCCGCCTTGGCCGACATCACGGCGCTCGTGCCCGACAAGAACTTCAACGTCAACGTCTTTGTCGACGCGGCGCCATCGACGCCCGAGTCCAAGACCGGCTGGGACGCATACGAGTCGCTCCTGCAACCAGTGCGCGCCGAGCTCGGCCTCGACACGACGCCGCGCCCGTTCCCGCAGGCAGCGATCCCGAGCGTGCTCGAGGACCAGATGCAGGTCATTCTCGACGTGCAGCCGCGCGTCGTCAGCTTTTGTTTTGGCGTCCTCGATCCGGCGCTCGTCCGCGCCTGCCAGAAGTTTGCAATCGTGCTTGGCACCGCCACGACGGTCGAGGAGGCCATCGCGCTCGAAGCTGCGGGTGTCGACGCCATCATCGCCCAAGGTACTCAAAGTCACGACGCGATCGGTTCTCAAAAGACGTTGTAGGCAGCGAGGCGGGTGGCCACCGCAGCTCGTTCCTGGGCGACAGCACTGGCTCGATGCTTGGGAGCATGGCGCTCATTCCTCAGATCTGCGACGCGGTCAAGGTGCCTGTCATTGCTGCCGGTACAACGCCATCCCATCGAGCACACATCGGTATCACAGAATCTCATAGGCGGCATCTCGGACCGCCGGCACATGCTGGCAGCGTTTGCCCTGGGCGCCGACATGGTCCAAGTGGGCACTGCGTTTCTCACGACGCCCGAGAGTGGACTGCCGCCCCAACGCAAGGAAGCGATCACCGCCGCGACGAGCTCGACAGCGAGTGTCGTCACGCGGGGTCTGACGGGGCGACCCGCACGCATGCTGCGCAACGAGCTCGTGGATCGTCTCGTGCCCCACGAGGTGGACGCGGCGTCGAGTGCGCTTCAACGTCAGCGCATGGCCGACATCTTTGGCACGCACGACCCGCGCTACTCGGCGCTCCTCGCGGGCCAAGGCCACGCCTACTGCCGCCTAAACGATACCGTCGCGACAGTGTTGGCTCGGTTTGCGTGAGCTCAGCACGCATATAAGATCTTGTTGACGGCGAAAATGCTAGCTGTGGACGATCGCGTTGATCTCTTGCTGCACCTGCATGACTGCGAGGAGGTCGCCCACCATGAGAATCTTGGTC